GATCCTTCACCCTTACTTGGTCTTCTCCTTTATCCTCTCATTTGATCATCCCCTTCCAAACTCCAAATGTCAGTTCAAGATGCATGGGTACCAATTTTTTCTTCTTGCGGTGTATTGTAAGTTCTTTTTGTCGACTTCCATATTTTTTTCATTTCTTTATGTAAAACAAGGCCAAGGTTTCAAAACCTTTGCAAGTGATTTTGAAGCTAAAACACGATTTTGTTGTTTTACATTATCGTTATACGCTACTTACCATTTTTGTCTTATTGGTTGTTTAATAATTCTAACCACCATAGCTAATCGTCGATAATTTTGGTTGTCAACTATTCTTACCAAGTATCATAATTTTGTGCAGAGCTGACTCTAAGATTTTTGAGGCCCTAGGCAAATAATTTTAATGAGGCCTTTTAAAAAAAATCTTTTTACTAGCGTAAAAGGGTAGATAAAAATTATAATGAAAATTTAAAGACTTAAATTGCTATATAGGCAATAAATTATGAAGGATCAATTTTTTATTATTTATCTTTTACTCCAAGAACTTTTTCTCTCTTGCTTCATTTGGCGGTATTTCCCTTCAATCGTGCTACTCAAACAGGGAAATTTGATAAGAAATGGAGACAAATAACACTTGGCATTTATTCATTTGAAGATGAAAAATCTAAAATATATATATATATATAATCACAGTTCGCCACGTCAGCTTTGTCAATATTTCCCATCGAATTTCCCTATTCGAGTAGCTTAATTCATTTCCTTTACCTTTCTCCCCACACTCTTTTGCTCTATTAAGTAAGTTTCACTTTCTATTTTCTTCCCTACCAGGTAAAATTTCATTTTCATTTTCATTTTCATTTCCACCATTTTTATTTAATTGATTATCTCAGCCCAATTATTTTTGCTACTATAATGAGGGAGAATGATTAAATGATATTCCATTTGGAATTGACTAATGAAGCTTAGCAAAAGTTATTTGTGAGGTATTAATTTTCTGCTTTTGGAGAAGCATCATAGGAGTTTGTCAACATTGCAATACATTATTGACTGAAACTTTTAAGATCTGTATGAAATTGAGAATTTCTACTTTGAAAATGGTGAAGAAAATGCTTTTTCTTTTCTTTTTCATCTCCATTTTTTACTTTACATTTGTTGTAATTTTTTTGGTGTCTATATATTTATAATTGTTTTTTCATTCTGCCTTGGGTCATTGATTGCTCCATCTAACACCACGATTTTTATTTATTTATTTATTTATTTTTGATTTTTTGAGATTGGAGACCCAAAGCTATTGCCTTAGTGGCTTTGGTCCCAAGACTGGGTCTGCGTTTGTGGCCAGTTGCTCGAGTCCACCAACCCTTGATGCTCCTTACTTCGTCCCTACTTGGTCTTCTTCTCCACCCTCCCATTTGCTCATCTCCCTCACAAGCCCCAAATGCCAGTTCAGAATGCATGGGGTAGCAATTCTTTTCTTTCCTTTGGTTTTTTTTTTTTTTTTTTTTTATCATAATTCAAAATAAAAGTGATATCGTCTTTTTAGTTGGAGAATATGACTAAACTAGACTGTTACAAACTTCAAAAGTTAACTACATAAATACTACAAAACAAAACTTGAGGCCCTTTTGCTAAAATTAAATAAAGCAACAGGAGTTATGGACGCAAAAACGCTCAAGCGGCTCAACATCAACTCTCTCAGTTCAAAGGGATAAACCCATAGAAATTTTGAAACACCACAAAGCAAAACCCATATGGCTGTTATTGCTGTTAACACTGGTCTGGCTGTATCCTGTTCGTTGAAATGGACTGGGATAAGGTCGTTATCTTCTCCTCTTTCTTCTACGGCCAGAATTGATTCCGGCCAAAAAAGCTTCAACCGGAATTGCAGAGGAGTTCAAATAGTACGAAGGCGAATCAGGCAACATAAATCTAAAGCTTATTGTTGTTTAAGAGTTCCAATCTCATATGCCGCAATCCCGTCGAGTTCTGCGCGTGAAATTCTCGAAATTTCACATTCTGTTACGGAATTTGTGGAAAATTCGGTGCTGATTGATTTAGATCCGGCTACAGCGAAAATTGCAATTGGGTTTTTGGGTCCTTTCCTATCTGCATTTGGGTTTCTGTTCATATTGAGAATAGTAATGTCCTGGTACCCAAAACTTCCAGTTGAAAAATTCCCATATGTGATTGCATATGCACCCACAGAGCCATTTCTTGTTCAAACTCGGAAGGTGATTCCTCCCCTTGGCGGCGTTGACGTTACTCCTGTGGTCTGGTTTGGATTCATCAGTTTCCTCAATGAAATTCTTGTCGGTCCACAGGGTTTGCTTGTTCTTCTATCTCAACAGGTTTAGTAGTGTTGTGTGTACAGAATTGTGCAATGAAATTTTCTTTTGTGTTTCAGAATTTGTTATGGTGCAATGCATATACATTCTCGTGATTATGAAATTACACCTCAACAATGAAGTATTAAGAATCAAAATTGAATTTGTTAAATATATCTACAATCCTATATGCTTCATAATTTCTAATACAAAAAAGATACTGACAAAATTTGTATTATCGCTAATGATCAGAATTTATCGTGTCTGAGAAGATTTCTAGCGGGGTTTCCTCCTATTCATACTAGTGAGAGAAAAATTCCGACCTTGAATCTTGATGTGCAAATATGCAATTTATCAGTGTGTATCGACTCTACACGTGAATTATAACGAAAAGTACGTAAGATGACTTACTGGGCCGGTGTAGTCAAGGAGACAAGTACAATACACCTCTTCTGAGATTTACAATGTGGGGCAAGGAACATAATAGCTTCAATCATATTTGGTTTGGTCCTTTCACCTCATCAGTCTCCATCCAGTCTAAATCCTTCTTGAAATAAAATGCGGCCTCTTCGTTGCTACCAAGTTCACAATACATTTTCAAGATTTTTTGGGGTAGGTTTAGAGTTGACACAGTTAGTTATAAAATAACTGCGAATGGGTTTTGCTTGAAAAAGCAAACACCGAGAGCATTGGAAATTTTGAAGGAAATGGTAGAGAGAGGCTTGGTACCAACGGTAACAACATATAACATAATGCTTAAAGGGTATTTTAGAGCGGATGAAGAAGAAGCATGTGGTTTTTTCTTGCAAATGAAGAGGAGAAAGGTTGAAATTGATGTTGTGGCTAATACTACGGCGGTTCATGGTCTTGGCGTCATTGAAGGAGGTTGAAAAGGCTCGGAAAATGTTTGATGAGATGATTAGGGCTGGAGTGCTCCCCTCACTGCAACTTATAATGCTTTGATTCAAGTTTTATGTAAGAAAGTGGAACATGCCATCATAGTGTTTGAAGAAATGCTTAGGAAGGGTTAGACACCAAATGTGACGACATATAATGTGGTTATTAGAGGATTGTGTCATGAACATAAATGAAAGATGACATCTGTAAGCCAATTGTTCAAACATATAATTTATTCTTTAGGTACTATTGTGATGATGGAGAAATTGAGAAGCATTGGAGGTGTTTGAGAGGATGACTTGTTTGCCCAACTTTGATACTTACAATGTCTTGATCAGGGCGATGTTCATGAGGAAATGATCAGATGACTTGTTGATTGCAGGGAAGTTATTGATAGAAATGGTTGACAGAGGGTTGGAAATTTACCTTCAATCGGCTAAAGTGACTCTGCTAACTGGTAATCAAGGATTTGTGAAAGAAATTTTGAGCCTACTGAGTAGATATGGCCATCTTCCTTGTCGTTTCAGATTATGAAATCCATTGCCAGGTGAAAGCACAAGAATTAGGCTTTCTGCATTGGTTTGATCTATAATCCCTTCAATATCACAATTCTTGCATTTTGTGGTGGTGTTACCAATATGAAAGTTATGAGCATCATATTCGAGGTTTTAAAATAGAGTTTTGTGTTTACCATCAAGATAAGGTCACTAAGGTGGTGGATCATGGCTGGTTTACGCCTGATCCAGTAGCGCTGTTACCATGCTGTTTGGACCAGGGAGATCAGAATTCGGCAAGCAAAGTGGCTGATTTTTTGACTTTTTCCCCCCAGATCCATCTCACAATATGATAATAGATTGGTTTGCTGCCAGGTGACCTTTTCCATTTTGTTTTTTGTTCTATGCAGGCTGTTAACTGAACTATCAAGCAAGTACAAAGTGAAGTTCAAAGTTTGGCAAATGAAAGTCAAGAAGGCGATCACGTTGAGGTCAAGTGGAGAGCCTCAGCACAGCCAAAAAGCTCAGATTAGGATGCTGTGGTCGAGCTCATACGGCTTGAGATAAGAGAGCTGTCGTGCCAAACCACTAGAAGCGAAGCTAGAGTGGTTGATTCTCATAAGAAATTGACCTAGTAAGGCACTTGATATCAGATTAAAGAGCTCGACCCAGGCTCACGATAAGGCAAAGACTCTGCCCAACCAGAGAAGAAAAACAACTTAGCACCAGAGTGACCGAACCAGTCTATACGAGGAATAAACTTGGCAGATCCAACATGATCCATGAAGATGTTAGCTAGGCAACAATATACGACAATAATGTACTTCATAGTCATATGGAACGACACATGTAATTAGAACATACAGGGCAAAACTGCCTTTTTCTGGATTGAATATATATAATATGCAAGGACAACATAATGGTACTACAGTATGATTTCCTCTTGAACACTAACATTAAGAGTCTTGTTTGGAAGGACTATGCTGTTGATCACTACAACTTCATCTTCAACTGTCACGGATTCACCTAGTTAGAAAAATATGTAAATAGATTATTTGCTGCATAATGGAGAGAGAACGAGAGAAAATTTAGCCCCTGTTTGTTTACCATTCTCCAAAAAACTCATTTTCAACCATACATTCTTACAATAAAATATGTTACATGTAAACTCATAACTTTTTCCTACTTTTTAATCACATATTTTCCAAAAAATTACTATTCAAAATCTCACTTTTTTCAAAAACCTCTTTATAATGGACATCAAACAGGGGCTTAGTAGATTAAGTAAAAAACATCGTAGTACCAAGAATTGTAACCCCGAGCTTCGCATTATAATCTCCTACAGCCTGAAAAAAGTTGAGAAAGCTTAGGAAACATATTGCATGAAACAAAATGAGAAAGGTTCAATACACTGGTAACCACTAAACCTTTAACAAAGTTTCATATTTAATTTTGTTTCGAGTTAGTCGCTAAACTTAAAATTTGATACAAATGCGTCACTCTGCCAATGTTTGTCAGCTTGATTAAAGATTTTCTTTCTTTTTTTATTACCTTCCTCGCATATGTATGAGGTTGAATCCATTCGATTTCTAAAAAAGATTACTAATCCTTAACTTTTCGAGGAATCCTTCATCAGTGATTGTGGCTTTTTGAAGATTTTGTAACTGAATTTTCTCCCTTGCACAACAATTTTTTATTAGTAGCGTATTAGGTATACGTACCAAAAGGTCTATGGAAAATATTACTTAAATAAATGTATATAAAAATGTTTTGGATAGAACCTTGGGTTTGGTTCTAGTATTTACAAAGATCCAAATGGTTCCATTTGTGAAATACCTAGAGTATAATGGGTGGTTCGAAGTATTGAAAAACTCGAACCAACCCACCCGACACCCAGGCTATTGAACAGTGCCATATCTATAGCAAGTGTTTGAAGATAATTGCTCACAACTCTGCTAAGATAAACCTGTCGACTTACCTGGACTCGAGACCATCTTCCTATAGAAGACTTCCATCCAACAATTGCGTGAATTACAACTGCATTTTCCTTCAGAAAAAATAAAACATGGATGTTAACGTTCGCATAATGTAATTATTTAGTAATATCTAGTTATTCGGTCATTAGTACCTTAATTTCAACATCGTCAAGGATGATACAACTGACGAGCCTCACACCAGCTCCTATACGAGCATTGGCAGAAATCGAAACGTTGGGACCAATCTGGTAAAGATTCATAGCAAACAAGTCAGCAATCTAGACGAAGCAGAAAAAATTCTACAAAAGCGACCTTTTTCGACTAGGAAATCGAATTAGAGGTGAATGTAGAAAACTAAAAGAGTAAATTTTAAAACCCGGAGAGAGAGAGGGAGGGAGAGAGAGAGAGAGAGAGAGAGAGAGAGAGAGAGAGAGAGAGTGAGAGAGAGAGAGACGGCTGTAAGAATTAAGTCTAGCGAACCTTGTGAGAGAACATGACAATGACTTTGTTGAGACACTGCCAAATTATCTTTCCGAGTACAGATGATAAATTATGTGCAACATGAGGTGAACAATTACACTATAATTACCAAAAATATTGTTTGATAAGAATACTGGACGAAGTGCTGGCATCAGATTACCTTTGCAGTTGGATGAACTTTTGCGGATGGATGAATATATACATCACCAGAAATGGTGGCGCTCTTTGTACCGTCACCACTTGCCAAGAGGTGGGATGAGGTGAATCTAAACTGAGCAAGATACAAGGCCGAACATTTCAAAGACATTCTGCAAAATATAAAGTACACAGTCAGATGAAATTTCACGAGACACTTGAGATATTAGAGGAGGAGTATTCATGACATTTTTGGCTCACCCGGGAGTTTTTATTTGTTCCCAGAAATCCATGGTTTCATATACATATAACTGCTTTTTCCCTGCAAGTGGGGATAGAATATCTTGATCCAGTCGTACAAAATCTGACAGAGGACTCCTGGCAATGAACTTGTATCAGCAATGAAACTTGAAAAGTAAATCCAAAACAAAATCTGTGAGATTTTAATAGATAGTCCTAAAACGAATGTGAGGCCATCAACCCACATATTTTTCCCAATTCTCATTAATTTTACCTGTTCGGTAGCTGAAGAGCTTCAAAACTAGACAAACGCCTTAGGGTAGCTGCAAATAACAAAAAAATCCATGTAAGCACAATGAGAAGTCTTCTGGTCATATCGTGTCATCGACCTAAGATCAACGCAAACTTCTGGTCCATGTTTGGTGCATAGAACTAGGCAGAGCTATGCAAGAAAATGAATAAAAGTTAAACTATCCAAGCAAGAATAAAATCCTCAACAATTTTAATAGAGCAACAAAGGATATAACTAACCTCTGTCTTTGCGTTGCATGGATACATCTTGAATGGCAGTAAAAATATCTGGAGTAAATATGTATGCCCCACAATTTATACGGTCACTCACCTATTTTTACAGCAATTTTTGGAGAGGGGGGG